TAATTACCTAGAAGCTACTGTAATAATCAGTTTGAATGGTTGGAGTGGTGGAGGGAGGTATGAACTTGAATATGAACTAGGGAGGCATCTAGTCCCCTTAGGGCCAGTTCTTAGGATCATCTTTATTGAGGAGGCCTCAATAAATGCAGAGGAAGAGGCAGAACTGGTGCCATTGCACCTCCTTGAGGGCAAAACTAGATCTTCTGCTTGTTTTGTAAGACAAAGTGGGACCTAATACACGTAAAGATCCAATAGATGTAGGTTGAAAATGTTAACAACCCTAAAGAGGAGTGATAGATTGAAGGCCTTGGGGTTCACAATAATGAGGCACCTGACTGAAAAGTGGCAAGATCCCTAAGACTGCAGAGAAGAAACTGGGAACTTAGAACTATTCTGATCAGTGACATTTGTCCTGACCAAGTGAGGATGCGAGGCTAATAACAGGAATAGTACAAACATATAAAAAATGCTTTCATGTAATCAGTACCCTATGAGTTAGGTTTTTAATTCCATCCTTACTGATGAGAAAACTGAGACTCAGAGAAGTTAAGTGACTTGTTCAAGGCTACACAGCTTTTAAGGATTCAAAGCCAGGTTTGTCTGGCTCTAAATCTGGAGGGTAGAGAACCAGTAAGCTGTGGGTATAGAGCTACCAATCAACTTGCCCAGTCTTCCATGTCCATTCATTTTCTTATCTCCTCCGTAAATAAGTCTCTCTTCCTTCCATAACTTTCTGATGTTTCCCTCTTTGTTTCTGTTTTTGAATCCAATCTATCACTCCTCTTTAGGGTTGTTAACATCTTCAACCTACATCTATTGGATCTTTACGTGTATCAGGTCCCGTTTTGTCTTAAATATAAGCAAAAGATCTAGTCTTGCCCTCAAGGAGGTGCAATGGCACAAATTCTGCCTCTTCCTCTGCATTTCTCATTTTTTCCGTCTTCGTCTCACGGATCGTCAGTGTCTAGACCAAGCATCAGGGCTGGGGCGACGCAGTAAGAAATCAGAGGAAGGGAAGCATCAGGTTGCACTTTCCTCTCAGAGCCGCTAGGGACTGCCCTCCTCCGCGCAGAAGCGCCGGCCAACGCAGCCTGACTCTGCTGCCGGTGCGCGCCCTCCGCTGATTGGCGGCACTTCAGGGAAGTCGCGCTTTGATTGGGCCACTGTCAGGTGTCGCTACCGGCAGGTTCGGCTGCGCGAGCGGAGGGAGGCGGGTGAGTGAGGGCCGGGGGCGGTGGAGGAGTGGCTGGGGGCCGGGGGCGGCGTGAGGGGGTGGGCTCGGAGGAGGGGGCTCGGTTGGTGCTGCGGGCTGCAGTTAATTTGGGGTGGGGGCAGCTTCGGAAAGAGGCCCGGAGGAGAGGCCTCAATGTCAACGTAGGGGGAGTGAGGCGGAGAAGGCGGGGGACGGGCAAAGTAGGGATAAAACCAAAAAAAAAAAAAACAACAAACCTATTGCCATTGAGTCTATTCTGACTCATAGCGACTTTATAGGACAGAGTAGAACCAAGGCTGTCATCTTTACGGAAGCAGATTGCCGCATCTTTCTCCCGCCAAGCGGCTGGTGGGTTCCAACCGCTGACCTTTTGGTTTGCGGCTGAGCGCTTTAACCACTGCACCACCAGGGCGCCTAAAGTCGAAAAAGGAAGGCGGTATTCGTGACCCAGAGCTGTGTGAGGATGAGACGGAGGGGGTCGTCGAGAGAAGAGATGGGTGTGAGAGGGTCTGCATGAGGAATAGGGGTAGAGTCCAAAAAGGGAGGGCCGAGGTGGAGGTTCTGCTGGAGGAGGGTGGGAGTGGAGGCAGTAGGGGAGAGTCTGCAGGAGGAGGACGGGAATGGAGTCCACAGTGGCCAGGGTCAGCCTGAGAAGGGAAGCGGTCATTGTGGAGAGGTGAGCCTGGAGAGAGGGGTAGTGTGAGGAAATAATAGCTAGATCTCAGGCAGTCTTTGCAGGGAATCACTAAGGGTTCAAAGAAAAGAGGTTACCAACTGTAGTGACTCATGTGAGGGTTTGAAGGACTAGTTAAGACTGGGGAATCAGTGAGTAGGGGAATTAGATGGATTAAGTGGATTAATTGACCTGTGATGGGGGGGCCAGCCGTCAGTGTTGGATGGTTAGGGGGGTCAGTGACTAGTCATTACAGCAAGCTGGGGAAAGAAGGTAGTATGAGTGCCTTGATACTGGCAACAGGCACAGCAGTGCGGTTGATCACTGTCAGAATGAGGGGTATGTATAAGGTCACTATGAGTTGAAATTGACTTGACTGGCAGCGGGTTATTATTATTCTTAGAGGGTTGCCGGGGAGCCCTGGTGGCACAGTGGTTAAGTGCTCGGCTGCTAACTGCAAGGTCAGCGGTTCGAACCCACCAGCTGCTCTGCAGGAGAAAGTTGTGGCAATCTGCTTCCATAAAGATTTACAGCCTTGGAAACCCTATGGGGCAGTTCTACTCTGTCCTATAGGGTTGCTATGATTCTGAATCAACTCTACAGGAACGAATTCGGCATGAGGGATTAGAAATTGCATCAAGAAGGAAGTGAGGGGTCCACTGTTGAAGAGTTTTTCTGTTTTGAATGTATTCCTGCCTGGAATCTGTAGATCTTTTTCCTTCACGACTGACGGAGCCCCCCATCGAGTGCATGGGGGTTTAGGACATTAGAGGACTCCTGCAAGCAGCCCAAAATCGAAGGAATAAAGAAGTTCCACAGACAGAGGAAGCTGCTTTTATCTACCCCCACTATTACTCCTTCTTTAGATCTGATTTAACATAGATGTTCCTGAGCAGATTGCCTGCCTGCCTGCCTGCCTAGTTTGCTGCCTTCCCTTCCTCCCTCCGTCCTTCCGTCCTTTTCTTCCTCCCTCCATTCATTCCTTTCTTTCACATTGATTCAGGCCTGAGTGAGACTGCCCTTTAGCCTAGTGCAGGGTCTCAGGTTTTTCTTTCAAAATGAAGTATTGGGGAGAGGGGGAAGGGGGGAAGAGAAGAGAAAACAGGGGAGTGCCTCTGGGAACATCACATCAAACCCCAACTTCTCCCAGAGGTAGGTACATCTAAATAAATCCTGGCTTATTTCATAGCTATTTCTGTCAGGCTTCTATTTTTGTTTTGTTAACTATGGATTTAGACCTTTCATCTCTCTTCAGCCCCTATTTGTGAACAGACTCGCCTACCCCATCCTATTTCTTACCGTCCTGCATTATTATAGGGTTGTAACAGAATTTCAAGAACATGACTGTTGTGCTTTCAGTAGAAAACCAGGAAGGACTTAACGGAAGAAAGGGCAAAGGGTTAGGAATCTTAGACATGACAGAAAGCTCCTGCTTCAGAGAAAGGATAAAGAATGCAACAAAATTGGAATTGCTTGAACTTTACAGGGATCTTGAAAATGCCACAAGTCAGGGAAATCAGGTCAGGTCACTGAAGAGGAATTCAAGGAACTAGCCTATTTATCAGGAGGGGGAGTCTATGTATACGACCTGCGGTGCACAGCTGGAAATGTTATGGCTAAGGAGGGTGTTGCCCCCTCATGGAGGTTCAGCAATGAGAAGACTGGAAAGGTCGAGGGCTATATGAAAGTCAGCTGTAACTTTCTAATCAAAGCTGCAAATATCATTTGTAATGGAAGGGCTTAAAATCGAAATAGAGAAAGTAATTATGGAAGACTGTTTTTAAAAGTCTCTAAGACTTTAAATTAATCACTCCATTTATTTAAGGAGTTTGTAGCTTTCATTACAGACTCATCGGTCAGTATTTCTGAGAACTTTTGGAGACCATGGAAAACTGCTGATGTGTGACTTAATTTTATTTTTGGAAAATAATAACAGACACCTGTATCCCACAATCCAGCATTAACAAATGTTGACCTTTTGTATATTTGCTTCAGATCTTTTTAAAAATAGAAATAAGCATAGATAAGTTTGTGAAGTACCATTTGAATCTTCCTCAGTTCCATTCCCCCCTCTCCTCACTGGTAATCGCTGTTGTAAATCCGATGTCTGTCTTTCCAGTCCATGTTTTCATACTTCTACTACTTATATATGCAGTCAGAAGCAATACGTAATTTTTTTTATTTATAAAAGTGGAATTATACTGCATGTATACCTTTGCAGTTTGCATTTGGAAGCTGTCTGTGTTGTTAAATATAGTTCGGATTCATTTTTTAAAACTGCTATTTGTCTATCATTTGTATATACTAGATCGTATTTATCTATTATTTTACTTGTGACGGCTGGGTTGTTTCCAGTTTTTTCCCATTACCAACAGTGAGGTTGTGAACATCCTTGCACATGTCTTTGTATGTGGGAGAGTTTCTCTAGGTCAGGGTTTCTCAGCCTTGGCACTACTGACATCTTGGGCTGGTAATCTTTTTTGTGGGGTGACAATAAATGTTTAGCAACATTCCTGATGTCTACCCACTAGATGTCAATAGCACCTCCCCAGCTGTGAAAATATCTCCTGCCAAGTGTCTCCTGGGGGACAAAATCACACCTAGTTGAGGATCACCACTTCAGGTGTATATATCCAGAAGTAGAACTGTCAGGTTGTTCTGACTCAAGTTAAAGTCTTAAGCTATTACTGATTATGGCTTTAGGCAGGATTCTTTTAAACTGAGGCACCTTGGCCTGGATTAGTGCTGTGTCTGTAGTACCACGGCGTGGTTGAGAGAACATTGATATTTCAGTCTGAGAATGGGTTGGAGACTGCAGTATGGATGCCCATTTCCTCAGCCTCCCAACCAGCACTAGGTCTCTTTCCTTGAACAGATTTTCTGGACTTGGGCGTCTGTCTCTTAAGGTGGAGGGGGAGCATATGGAATTTTAAGGGGAGAGGGGGGCATAGAGGATTTTAATATTCTGATACAATGCGTAGAACGTAAAGTGCCCTCAAGAAGTGTTTTTTGAGTTAATCCTTGAAGGGATGAAGATGGAGGTTCATCCAAAGGCAAAGGCAGGTAACTTCCCTCATTCCCTTGCTCTTTAATTAAATCCCTGAGTTTACTGTAGGGGGGCATGGAGAGGGGCTAGGAAAGTTTTGGGATAAATCCAAAGTTTGAGATGTCACTCTAACCTTCTCTTTCAGTAGGAATCAACAGTAGCCTTCCATGAGGAACTGCCTCTTCCATTTGCTGCTGGAGTTGAAGTTGTTTCTCACTGGCAGAATCAGGGACATGCCAGCACTGTAAGGGTTAATCTCCTTATCTTCTTCCCAGTCTCAAGGTTGGAGGTGGGGTGAGCAGGGGGAAGGGGGAGACCTTGCTTTTCTCTTATGGATCTTTAGTCATTTCAGGTCATAGCCCACATGCCTCATTTCCTGTTGATTCTTCTCCCATAGCTTTGTTCCCTCTTTCCCCTAGTCTCCTTGTAGTTCCCACTTACAGTCTCATTCTCCCATCCCATCCCCCACCCACTGCCAGGGGGCTTGGATTCTGTGCTGATGGGGTGCTCCCCTCCACAGAGCGGGATGAGTGGGTGCTCCGGTGGGGATGTGGTCATTGTCGGCCAGTGAGGGCGAGAGCGCCACGGCCCACTTCTTCCTTGGAGCTGGAGATGAGGGGCTGGGCACCCGTGGAATAGGCATGAGGACAGAAGAGAGTGACAGCGAGCTCCTTGAAGATGAGGAGGATGAAGTGGTAAGACTAGGGAAAATGATGTAACTTGGTGGTGGGCCCCTTGTGACAGAGAGTTGAAATTCCACTGGATGAAGACACCTCTCTGTCCTTTCCAAATGCATGGACTCTGTCATAAATAGGCCGTGTTTTGATTTAGGAGAAGAGTAGCGGAGGTTGGTTATATGGCCACTCTGTGACGCCCCCTGCCCTTGTGCCCTCCTCATATCATTTCATGATTATTGGTTCTCTGGCTCTCCTGCCTGAACACACATATTTTCTGCTGTGGAAAGGCTCCTGTTCTGTAGGCAGTAGAAATCCCTATATGTGCCCCAAGCTAGACCAAAGTTAGAAGGCAACCTTGACCCCACAGGTCTGAAGTCCTGGCGAAAAAACCTCTGTGCCCTAAGAAGATGAGACTGTGTTTCCAGATGGGGGTGGTATCAGTGGGGAGTTCCTGAGTTCCTGATGGCACTTCCTTCCTGTAGCCTCCTGAACCACAGATCATTGTTGGCATCTGTGCCATGACCAAGAAATCTAAGTCCAAGCCAATGACCCAAATCCTAGAGCGACTCTGCCGATTTGACTACCTGACTGTTATCATTCTGGGAGAAGATGTGATTCTCAATGAACCTGTGGAAAACTGGCCATCCTGCCACTGCCTCATCTCTTTCCATTCCAAAGGTTGGGGTCTGGGAGGGAAAATGGGAAGGAATGGTGTTGGAAATGCTGGACTGGGAAATGAGGTTCTTACTGTTGTATTTCCTTAGTAAAGAGGCCACCAACAATTCCTGACACGCTAGAGAACAGTGAGAAGGGGTTTGCTTTTCCTACATCTTGGAGGAGTTGCTGGAGGCAGTTTATAGCCCATGTGCTAACATTAGGACAGCTCTTAGGCTCTTAGGGTCTCTGGAAGGACCTTAAAAATAATTTCTTTTTCACTTTTTCCTGATGGATATCCTAGGCTTTGGGAAGCTGGGCAGAAGGATAGTGATGGAGTTGGATGGGTGGAGGAGCTCAGTGGCAACCAATAACTGTAATATGTTTAATATGTTCTCTATCTCTTTTACTCCCTTTGATCTATTTCCTTTCTCCATTGCAGGCTTTCCTCTGGACAAGGCTGTTGCTTACTCCAAGCTTCGAAATCCCTTTCTTATCAATGACTTGGCCATGCAGTATTATATCCAAGATAGGTACAGCTTTGTGTTGACCAGTGGAGTGGGTGGCCCTGGGATCATGCCCCATTCTTTCCCAGATGTCTTTAGGGAACTCACTCTGGGAGGGGCAGAGGCAAACAAATTTGCTTAATGTTTATACCATGCCCTCTTGGGTTTTCGACCTTGGTGTCTTCTAATCCCTGTGCAAATGGAGTCTCTAGCCCCTCCCCTTAGCCCTCCCTCCGCACCTCTCCCAGCTAATTTATTTGGGGCTGACAGGAGGGAGGTGTACCGGATCCTGCAGGAGGAGGGTATTGATCTGCCTCGATATGCTGTGCTGAACCGTGACCCTGCCCGGCCTGCGGGTGAGTACGTGGCTTGCCCACGCCTGCTGTGCCTTGCTGTCTATGACTGAGCTTGGCTCTTCATCCTCTAGACGTCTCCTATTACCACCCGTCTAAGTGGGACTTTGGATACTGGATTATGGGTAGTGTTAGAGCCATAGGTCTTTTTACAGAGCCTTGGACCTGCAAGATAGGTATCGCTGTACCTATTACCAGGAGCCCTGGTGGCGTAGTGGTTAAGAGCTATGGCTGCTAACCAAAAGATCAGCCGTTCGAATCCACCAGCTGCTCTGTGGAAACTCTATGGGGCAGTTCTATTCTGTCCTGTAGGGTCACTATGAGTAAGAATCAACTCGACGGCAACAGGTTTGGTATACCTATTACCCAGATAAGGTAATAGAAATTTCCTCCGGACACCCTTTTAGCTCAGTGATGAAGTCACTCCCAAGGATCACCGTTCAGCTGGGGATTGGACAGCCCCATAAAACAAAACGGGACTAATGAGGCACAGCAGTGCAGGGACAAGGACTAGAAGGCAGAAGTGGACAGGAAAGCTGGTGATAGGGAACCCAAGGTTGAGTAAGGACAGTGTTGACACGTAGTGGGGTTGTTAACCATTGTCATAGGGCAATATGTGTACTAATGAGAAACTATTTTGTTCTGTACACCTTCATCTAAAGTGAGAATAGCAGCACAACTGGAAGAACACAATTGATGTCACTAAATTGTACACATAGAAATTTTTGAAATGGTGTATCTTTGGGTATGTATATTTTCACAAAAAAAAAAAGGGTCCTCCAAGGTCGAGAAGGGAGAGTGTTGACTCTTTGTGGGGTTGTTAACCAATGTCATAAAACAATACGTGTACTGACTGTTTAATAAGAAACTATTTGTTCTGTAAACCTTCACCTAAAGTACAATAAAAAAAAATTTTTAAAGAAAAGAAAAGATAATAGAAATTTGAGGGTTACAGAGATTAAAACCCTGGGGAAGTGGGAATTGGAAGTATTCTATAACCCTAGGCCCTAGGAATGACCACACACCGACCTTTCAGAATGCAACCTGATAGAAGGTGAAGACCACGTAGAGGTAAATGGAGCTGTCTTTCCCAAGCCCTTTGTGGAGAAGCCAGTGAGTGCGGAGGACCACAACGTTTACATCTACTACCCTAGCTCAGCTGGTGGAGGAAGCCAGCGCCTCTTCCGTAAGGTATGGGGGACGTGTGAGCATTTGGGGAGTCAGAGAGGTAGAGGATAAGGATGAGGTTGTAGGGAGGGAAGCTGGAGGATTTGGAGACAAGGTGGAGGGTTGAGGCAACATGCTTTTTTTCTCCCTCTTCTCTTGAAGATTGGCAGCCGAAGCAGCGTTTACTCTCCTGAGAGCAGTGTCCGGAAGACGGGGTCATACATCTACGAAGAGTTCATGCCAACGGATGGCACAGATGTCAAGGTTATGGTGGATGTAGGGATTTAAGAGGTTACAAGTGTCTGGGTGGGATGGGGCACCCAAGAAGCAGGTGGAAGTCAATGGAGGAGGTCACAGAAATAAAGTGTGAATGAGACTGACTTTCATATTCAGATGAAGATGAGGAGTGGGGATGGAGACGTTCACATTATCACTCTCAGAGTAGGGCAAGGGTGACGCAGAAAGTGGTATGATGTTGGTAAGTTATTTCTGAATAGAGACTGGGTGATAGTGCTGGAAGCCCGAGGAGAAACCTTCGTAATGAGGCTTCAGTAGGGCTCAGTGGAAAAATGTCAGTCTTCTTATTCTTGATGCTCAGGTTTTTGTTGTTTTTTTTTTTTTTTAAATTCTGAAGCTAGTCTGTAGACCTAGTGCTCATATTGTCTTTTCATATACAGGGTGAGCTGTGGGCCTACTCAGTGATGCTATGTACCTGCAGGTGTACACAGTGGGGCCAGATTATGCCCATGCTGAAGCCAGAAAATCTCCAGCTTTGGATGGGAAGGTCGAACGAGACAGTGAGGGCAAAGAAATTCGGTATCCAGTCATGCTGACCGCCATGGAAAAGCTGGTGGCCAGAAAAGTCTGCGTAGCTTTTAAGGTAGAGCAAGGCCCACGAGGGTTTGTGGGATGAGGGAGAGAGACAGGAGCAGGGGTCTGGAAACAGAGGCCCCTCTTGTTCTCATCTTGCCTCTTTTCCCTGCAGCAAACCGTTTGTGGATTTGACCTTCTTCGTGCCAATGGTCACTCCTTTGTGTGTGATGTCAATGGCTTCAGTTTTGTCAAGAACTCAATGAAATACTATGATGACTGTGCCAAGATTCTGGGGTAACGGACACAGTGGTCTGGGCTGGGAGAATGCGCTTAGGGAAGAAGGTTAAAGAGTTTTGACTTGATTATAAATATTGTAAAAATGATTTAAAAGGGAAAAGGGAAGGGGCTCCCCAGTCCCCTTGCCTTCCCAACGCTACTCCCCAGAGGTCATTACTATTCACAGTTTCGGGCGTAACAGTATTTGCCATGTATAAACCAAATGTAGTTGTTTAAACTTATTTTATTTTTATTTATTTTACTAAATGTGATCAGCCTATACATATTGTTCTATAACTTGACTTTTTAAAAAAATGATCATGTAATATTTAAAACATTCAAAATAATATAGTGATGAATATAGTGAGCATCCATGTATTCACCACCTAGCTTAAGAAACAAAATATTAAGAATACAGTTCAAGCCCCTAAGTATCCCTTCTTGATTGCAACCCCTTCTCCCCTACCCAGAGGTAACCAGAATCCTAGATTTGATGTTTATAATTTCCAGCATTTATTTATATTTGTACTAGCTATATGGAGTTTGTTTGGCATGTTTTTAGACTTTATATTAACGTACTCTTCTGCGACTTGCTTGTTTTACTCAATATTATATTTGTGAACTTCATTCATACATGTAGCTGTGGTTCACTTCCTATCAAGCAGCTTCTTCATGCTTCTCCTTCTAGGAACACCATAATGCGGGAACTTGCCCCACAGTTCCAGATCCCGTGGTCCATCCCAACAGAGGCTGAGGACATTCCCATTGTTCCTACCACATCTGGCACAATGTGAGCAAAAGTAAAAATCTGGAGTCACCTACTTAAGGCACTTGGGATTTCCTAAGACAGACCCGTGGGTACTTCCTGCCTATGCACAACCTGACTGGTGGAGCCTGGGTCCCTTCTAGGCAGTCTTCTTAACCCTACCCATAGTCTGACTCTCAGTTTTTCCTCTGCTCTTGGGACATGTTTAGTAGGATACGATGATTTGTGGGGTGAGGGAGGCTCTGACAACATTCCCCATCCTAGGATGGAGCTCCGTTGTGTCATTGCAATTATCCGTCATGGGGATCGTACCCCGAAACAGAAGATGAAGATGGAAGTGACACACCCCAGGTAGGAAGGATGTCCTAATTGGACATTTTGGTTTTGGTGAGGGAGATGGGGGGAGGGAAGGGGAGGGGCAGCTCCCACAAGCTGTGACTGGTCCCACACTGAAGCTGCTCTTACTTCTTCAGATTTTTTACTGTATTTGAAAAACATGGTGGCTACAAGACAGGGAAATTAAAGTTAAAGCGACCTGAGCAGCTACAGGTAAGGTGGTGAACTGAGAAGAGCAGAGCTATGGGACACCTAAGGGGTATGAGATTGGGGGCCTTGACTAGAGACTAAGATGAAAGAGCCACTGGCCAGGACTTGACCTCCTACATGGATGCCCTGTTATTTCCTCCAGGAGGTGCTGGACATCACAAGGCTTCTGCTGGCTGAGCTGGAGAAAGAGCCAGCTGGTGAGATCGAGGAGAAGACTGGGAAACTAGAGCAGCTGAAGTCTGTGCTGGAGATGTGAGAAGGGAAACAGGAAACGGGGGCCAGGAACTCTGAGACTCGGGTGCTGGGGTAGAAAGGAAACTGGGACTTTATCCTACAGGTATGGTCACTTCTCAGGCATCAACCGGAAGGTGCAGTTGACTTACTACCCTCATGGAGTAAAAGCTTCTAATGAGGGGCAAGGTAAGATATAAAAAAACACCCCATTCCTGTTACCACTCAGCTCTCTTATTCTTGAACTCTTAGGTGACCTCTGTCCCAGATTACCTTTCTAGGCTCCTCAGGAGACTTAACATTAGATGTCCCCACTGTTTTCCTTAGATCTAGACCTATTCATTACCCCTTATTCCCTCAGATCCGCAGAGGGAGGCTCTGACCCCATCTCTACTGCTGGTACTGAAGTGGGGTGGAGAACTGACTCCTGCTGGCCGTGTTCAGGCTGAGGAGCTGGGGCGAGCTTTCCGCTGCATGTACCCCGGAGGACAGGGTGAGTGTTTTGGGAGGTAAATACCGAGCAAGGCTGGAATAAGATGATCAGAGAATAAGTTGAGGGAAATGAAGGGACAGGGGCAGTGGGGAAGTTCAAGGGGAAATGAATATTTATAGCCTGGGTACTTATAGCAGTCCATTTCTGGTCCTCCTGGTTGCCCCCAGGTGACTATGCTGGCTTCCCTGGTTGTGGGCTGCTTCGTCTCCATAGCACCTTCCGCCATGACCTCAAGATCTATGCCTCTGATGAGGGCCGTGTCCAGATGACTGCCGCTGCCTTTGCTAAGGTACATCCTACCACTTTCCCACAGCCCTAGCTTCCAGCAGGTAGAGACGCGGATAGTTTAGAGAACGAGCTGGGAAATTTCAGGGTGTTTGTGTGCTGACTCTGAGAAGTTTCTACTCGTGTCTGACGCATTCTATACTACTGAGAATGAGCTGGTACTAACTAGAGGGGGTAGGCCCCTAGACCTCTATCCCAGCTCTCCAAGCGAGCTCCCGTTTGATCTCTGGGTCCCACGAGGCCTAAGGGGACCAGCCGGGAAGGGAAACTAGCAGACCTGTGTTTCTCCCCCAGGGCCTTCTGGCTCTAGAAGGGGAGCTGACACCCATTCTGGTCCAAATGGTGAAGAGTGCCAACATGAACGGGCTCCTGGACAGCGATGGTGACTCCTTGAGCAGCTGCCAGCACCGGGTGAAGGCTCGTCTGCACCACATTTTGCAGCAGGATGCGCCTTTTGGCCCTGAAGACTATGATCAGGTCAGGCTGTGCCCACAACACCCCGGATCCCAAATTCCTAGAATTCTAAATAATAGTGCTTCCTATGTGGCAGGCACTCCTGTGTGCTTTGCATATGTTATCTCATTTAGCCCTTACAGTAACCTTTTGAGATAAGTGGGCTCATAGCCTCTTATCCACAACTTCAAAAACTGAAAAGATTTTGATAAGTTTGGCATCAAGATTCATTTGGTGGCAGAACCTGACATGACGTGAACTGTCCTAAGGCTGTTTATAATCCATATTTATCCCACTTAGTGTAGTAATACATTTTGCTATAGAAATATTAATGCGTTTGCTTATGTCCCAGACCCTGCTGGAGGTGTTATGTATGTCATATGTACTGTATTAACTTCCTAAAGTCTGAGAAAGTCTCAATTCCAAAACACAGCTGGGTCCCAGGATTTTGAATAAAAGAATACTTGTTATCTATTGCTGTGTAAAAAAAGCTACTCCAAAGTTTAGTAACTGAAAACAACAATCATTTTATTATCTCTCACAGTTCTAGGCTCAACTAAGCTGAGGATCGTGAGAGATAATAAACTGATTGTTGTTTTCAGTTACTTGGGGTGTCTCATGAAATTTTAGTCAGATCAACATCTGGAGGCTCACCTGGGATGCTGGGATAGCTGGGTTCTCTTTCTCTGTCTGCTCTCCAGGTAGTTTTAGAGCCTCTCCTCTCTGCATGTTTTCTTCTCTGTGGGGTTTCTCTAGCATGGTAGCTAGACTTCTTAGGTGATAGTTCCCAAAACCAAACCCATTGCTGTCGAGTTGATTCCGACTCATAGTGACTCTATAGTACAGAGTAGAGCTGCCCCATAGGGTTTCCAAGGCTGTAATCGTTACGGAAGCACACTGCTACATCTTTCTCCGACAGAGCAGCTGGCGGGTTTGAAACATTGACCCTTTGGTTAGCAGCCGAGTGCTTAACAACTGTGCCACCAGGGCTTCCAAAAACAAACCCGTTGCCATCAAGTCGATCCCGACTCAAAGCAACCCTATAGGACAGAGTAGGACTGCCCTATAGGGTTTCCAAGGAGCAGCTGGTGGATTTGAACTGCCGACCTTTTGATTAGCAGCCAAATGCTTAACCACTCTGCCACCAGGGCTCCAATGGTAGCTTAAGAACTTGTTGCTGTTGAGTCGATTCCGACTCATAGCGACCCTACAGGACAGAGTAGAATTGCCCCATAGGGTTTCCAAGGAGAGCCTCGTGGATTTGAACTGCCGACCTTTTGGTTAGCAGCCATAGCTCTTAACCACTATGCCACCAGAGTTTCCAGTGGTAGCTTAGGGCTCCCCAAAAGCGCAAAAGCAGAAGGTTCCAGGCTTTCTGAAAGCGTAGGCCCAGAACTAGCATAGCATAACTTTGTTATTTTATTGTTTAAGCAGTCACAGGACCAGGCCAGATTCAAGGGAAATGGAAGGTGACGGAGAATTAATGACTGTCTTTAATCCACAACAAGGACTGTGGACCTGTACAACTTTTCCCTCATTTTACAGATGAAGAAACCTAGAGTCAGAAGAATTTAAGCAACTTTTCCAAGGTCACCCAGCTAGTATGCACCCAAGGAGCCTAACTCTGGAGTCCAGGCTGTCACCACTTCAGTACACTGGCTCACCCTAACAATTGCAGTGGATGCCACTACCCAACACGGTCATTCTTCTTCCTATGTATCACTCAGCAGCTGCTGAGTGAGAGGGTGCCCTCGCCTACCCCTCTAGTGCCAGGGAATAGGCCCAGAGGCTTTTAGGACTTTATCAGGGAAATAGAGTCTACGCAAGTCCAAGGACCTTCCTTTTTCTGCAGGGAGCTGCCCCAAGTCCAGGCTGCTGAGGAAAGTCCATATATCAGGGTTCCATCCTGGAGTTCAGATCTGGCCTTACATCACCTCGTGTCTGAGTGGATCTGACTTTAGGGTTAGCTTAGAATGGGTCCAGGCCATGATTGACAGGGGATCATTTGCCAGACAGTAGCTTCCCACCAACTCATCTCTGACAGCTCCTCATTTTTGGTATATTCTTAAACGAACTAAGTAGATGAGCACATTGCCAAGGGCTCCGAGTAGGACTTGATAAGGGGCAGGACCTTATTTTCCAATCCATTGCTCAGGGCCAAATCCAGAAAAACTAAGGCATCTTTCCTTTTCTCTCTATTTCCTTTTACTGGCAAGAATGAGACTAGTGAGGACCTAGGTAGAATGTGTGTGTTCCACCCATAGCCTCTTTCCCCCTCCGCATATGGTGGCATCCCTCATGGACTGTGAATGTCCCAAAAGCTTGAGTTGAAACCCAGTTCTGAGGCAGCACCTCTACTCTAGGCTCAGGCTAATATCTTGTCTAGAGGAGCAAGATATTCTTGTTTCTAATGTCCCTCCGTGAAAACTATGGAGATTTCGGGGATTTTGATTTAATCTTTATTCCGCAGCATTTTCCATGTGTATCTTAGAACCCCTGAGAGAAGACCTCTAGGCTCTAAGACTTTTAAGATCAACTTCTCTTAGGTGACTGTGTGCTAGAGCAGTCCCCTCACCTGAAGGTCCTGAACCACTAGTGTGCCCAGTGGCCTAAGAATGCTCATGGGAGCGAGCCAACAAACAGATCTGTGTTGTAGGCAATCTTTTTGTAACAAGCTCACAGGAACCTGGACAATTGATGCTGAGCCTGTCTTGCTTTTCTTCTCTCTATTCCCCACAGCTGGCTCCCACTGGAAGTGCTTCCCTGCTCAACTCCATGGCTATCATCCAGAATCCTGTGAAGATCTGTGATCAGGTATTTGCCCTGATTGAAAACCTCACCCGCCAGATCCAGGAACGGATGCAGGACCCCAAGTCTGTAGGTGGGTATGAATGCTGCTATCTTCTCTTCAAGGTCGCAGGTGTGGATGGGTTTCTCAGGTATTCCTGTCTCCTCTTCTAAATATCTGAGACAAGGAATGTTCATATCTCTGGTTCTACTTCAGAGTTGTCAAGATCTTTAGTTAGAGGTAAAATCTTTGGCTCTGCCTGCCTTCTTCCAGACCTGCAACTCTACCACAGTGAGACACTAGAGCTCATGCTACAGCGCTGGAGCAAGCTGGAGCGTGACTTTCGACAGAAAAGTGGGCGCTATGACATCAGTAAGATCCCCGATATATATGACTGTGTCAAGTATGATGTGCAGCACAATGGGAGTCTGGGACTTGAAGGCACAGCAGAGTTGCTCCGTCTCTCTAAGGCACTGGCCGATGTGGTCATTCCCCAGGTGTGTCTCATAGAAGGGATCTAGCCTGGGCATAGGAACACTGGGGATGGAAGCAGAGAAAAGATGGAAAGGAGGGGTGGGGTGGGAATCAGAGGAAGGAAACTTAGAGAAGGAATTGGTTGAGTTGCTACAAATCTTGAGGTCCAGTCTGGCTCTGGGTAAGTACAAGAGGCTAACTGTAGAGAAACCTGGAGAGGGGGAATGTGGTGGATATGAGAGAAGCCCTAGACCTGAGGTGAAGACACGCATGGTCGTGGGCCTGGGAGGATGAGATAAGAGGAAAACAAGATTCAATGAGGTGCTTTTTTCTTGTCTGTGACACTTAGGAGTACGGAATCAGTCGAGAGGAGAAACTGGAAATTGCTGTCGGCTTCTGTCTTCCACTATTGCGGAAGATACTGCTTGACCTGCAGAGAACCCACGAGGATGAGTCTGTCAACAAGCTGCATCCTCTGTGAGGGAGGGCTGGGAGGGGTGCTGGATGGAGGGAGGGGCATGTCAGGGAGCCCTGGGGAACCAAGAATAGATGACATCCTGGCATAGAAAGGAGAGGAGAAGTCTTTGAGGTGGGAGGAGGGAGTTTGTGGAGGGGTGGGAAGAGGAGTATCTGACTGTGTGAGTGACTTAGCTATTATCTCAGGTACTCCCGAGGAGTGCTCTCCCCAGGCCGCCATGTTCGAACACGTCTCTATTTCACCAGTGAGAGCCACGTCCACTCCCTACTGAGTGTCTTCCGTTATGGAGGACTTCTTGATGTAAGCGTCCTCTTTTGCATTCAGCCTGTGAACATCTTTTCTCAGCATTCTTTTCTGTTCCTCCTAATGCTTCTTTTTTTACTGCAAGCTTTCTTTATGTTCCTTTCTCTATGTTCCTGCCCATCCCTGACTCTCCTGTCCTTGGATCTTGGCTTACGTCTTCCTGTGTTTGGTAGGAGACCCAGGATGCACAATGGCAGCGCGCTTTGGCTTATCTTAGTGCCATCTCTGAGCTCAATTACATGACCCAGATTGTCATCATGCTTTATGAGGACAACACACGGGTGAGGAGCTGGCCGGGTGGGATGAGGAGAGGGCCCCTTCTCTCTGCCTCCATGCCCTTTTAGAAAAAAATTTTTTACCCTCATAATTTGTAGAATCCGGCTAGGTGTGGCACCTAGAGCACAGTATGACAGCATCTAGGAGGTTCTTACTGGAACAAAAATGTGTTCTTGGATGGTGTTGAGCCAGAGAGACACCCTAGAACATAGCTCTGGCATTGGGGAGGATATGGAATTAGGGATGGTATTCCTTAGAACTCTTGTTATAATGAGTCTTTTTTTCTCTTCAAACACTGTTACACATGAACTTCATCTGGTTCCACAAAGATATCTTTAAATGTGCTGCTGTATGCACTGTAGCAAAGCTGAGTTACGGCGAGAAATAGACGGAAAGGGTTGCAGAACTGGAAGTTGGAAAGTCATGTGGAGTGGTGAGCTAGAAACGGCAGAGGTGGGAGAATGAGAATTCTGTGACATTAGGCTATAGTGAAAGCTCTAGCAGATGAGCCCTAGAGTGAGGCAAGACCCTGAAACCTCAGCCCTGGGAGGAGGGTGTATCCTCTTGAGTTCCTCTCTTCCACCACCATACCCAGCTTCTCCCAACTGCCCCTTCATCTGGTGATGCCCTGTAGGATCCCTTATCAGAGGAGCGCTTCCATGTGGAGCTGCACTTCAGCCCTGGAGTGAAAGGTGTTGAGGAAGAAGGCAGTGCCCCAACTGGCTGTGGATTCCGTCCGGCCTCTTCTGAGGTGGGTCCTGCTCTGGATTTGGGACCTGAGGTCTTACAAACCTAGTGATGGGAAACTGGGAAGCAGTAACAGGGAGGTAAAAGAGTTGGGTAGTCTGGGATTAGGAGGCTGGAGGCCATTGACGCCTCTCTTATCTGTGCCTGTTGAACAGAATGAAGAGATGAAGACAGACCAAGGCAGCATAGAGAACCTGTGTCCCAGGAAGGCATCAGATGAGCCAGACCGGGCACTGCAGACTTCAGCCCAGCCCTCTGAGGGCCCTGGCCTCCCGAGGAGATCGCCTCTCATTCGCAACCGAAAAGCTGGCTCCATGGAGGTAATGGGAGGGGCTTGGGACAAAGACCAAAGACAGGAAGGGGTGGAAGCGCTCACAGGACAGTATCTATGTGTCGTCTGAATCCCCTTGGGCTCCTATCAGGGAACCATTCTTGGGGACCTGAGTCTTCCTGCCCCTAATGAATATGTTTTACTTCATCCTTCTTTCACAGCTGGCCCCCAACAGAGCTCCTCTAGACTGGTTGCTACTTCTGAGATTTCAGAGATGTCAGTGAAGGGTGCCCGAGAGATAAGGGTATTAAGAGGTGAGATTGAGGAGGATACCTGTAAATGAATGTGGAAAGGCAGTTCTTTAAGAGGAAATATAGTAGAAACAGCATGAACTCTGAAGTCTGACAGTTCTGGGCTAAAATCCCAGTCTGATCTTAGAAGCTGTGTGACCTTGGACAGGTAACTTCTCCAAGTCTGTAAAATAGGAGTAATTTTTTCATCTGTAAAATAGGAGTGATAGCCAGCTTAAAGGCCCTTTATAAATAGTAACTATAATAACTTAACTGTCATAACTATATAATTACTATTAAAGGCCACGCTCTCTCCATTCCTCTTTTGCCTTGAGTAAAAATTATAGGTCTGTTAGGGGCAAAGACCTGTCACTTTAATTTAACCCCTTAGGGTTATCTATACCATCATCCCCGAAAGGGAATCAAGTTTGGAGGTCTGTCTTTCTTCTCTTTGTTCTGACAAAGAGGTTTGTCTGCCTGGTCCCGTGTTCTGCTCTTCTGGGAGTTTGTCTCTAGCCTTCGGTTCTAGTTCTCCAGTTGTTTGGGTCTTTTTTCCTGGAAAGACTGTTTCCCTTTTTTTGGGCCAACAGCACTCCTTTTGACCCCATGACTTCTTCCTGTCTCTGACTGTCTGATTTGGGTCCTGCTCTGACCGGATGAATCAGTTCACCTGGCTCTGTGCCAGCTCTCTGTCTTGGAGGAATTAGTTTTTTCCCTTTTAGGGCTATCTCAGAAGAATCTAGTAACTAGCTTTGTTCAGCCAGAGGTTTAAACTTCAGGTTTTGGAGAAAGCTGAGAAGAAAAACTGCAGTCTCTTTTCTGGACTCATCCTTTGCTTCCTGATTATTTTAAGGTGGATTTGAAGTTATGCATATGCAGAGTTCCTTTAGGTGAGTTATGTATTCTACGCAGAGTTCCTTTAGGTGAGTTATGTATTCTTTCCTCTGAGGTTTAGATGTAATTTGGTATCCATCGTACTCTAGAAGCCTGCAGGCTCATGTGAAATAGATCAAATGGACAGAATGGCACATAATCGTCCATCAATAAACTGCTCCTCCACATCTAAAGCTCCCCCCATCCACCTAGTCTGCTGGTCTCCCCAGCGCTGTTGTGCGTGACGCCCTTCTGTCTTCTGGTTTAAGCAATCAAGAGACATAGGCCAAAAGAGAGTTCTCCGTGTATCATCTCTCAGACTTGATGGGATTGACTTCTCTCTTTCAGGCCTACAGAAAGCTTTCTATTGTAATCTCATCCCTTCCCTTCAGTTACTAGTGCTGCTTATACCCTGGCTCATCTAGGAAGATGGTTGCCTGGGATGTGCTCTCAAGCTTTGCAAGAAAGTCTTTTTTCTGCTTCTTGGTCACACAGCCTTGGAATATTAATATAGCCTCTCCTTGCTCTGTAAGCATAGGTATTGGGCAATCTTATCCTTGTCGCTTACAACCCTTCCCTCACCTCTTCTTTTCCTCTTGTCATCTTGTATTTTTGGACTGTTTTAGGTTACAAACCCTGTGACCTTCATAGCAGCTATGCCCAAGGTGGTCATTCTCTCCAGCCCTGTAACTAGCTCTGCCCTATGGGCACTGGGGCTTTCGGGAGCTGAGGGGTTAAAGGAGCCGTGACCGGCTTTCCACCCGGTCTGATTGCAGGTCATGAACATGCAGTGTACGGGGAGCCTGGACCTGATCCCCTTGCGGGGACGGCGCCGCCGGAGGTCAGGAGACCTCCCCCGGCCTTCCCCAGCCATCGGCCTACAGCCCCGGGCTGTGTCCACCACTCACCTGGCGTCCTGCACACAGGTGTCCCCTCCCTATCTTCCCTGCCTTTTCTGCCTTCTGTCTTTGCCTTTTGGGATCTAGGGACTCAGAATACTATCTAAGTGGGGTGTGTGTATGTTGGGGGTTGTGTGATTGGGCCCTTGCGGGCTTTTTGGAAATCTGTTTCACGTCTCCAGCAGTGAGATATTTGGAGGGGAGGGCTTCTTGGTTCAGACAAGAAATTGAGCGTAGTTGTCATAGCCACAGCTGTCCATAGAGAGAAGAGAGAGTGGCCACACTTGATTTCTTATTTGTAGCTGAGTCGTGATAAGCTTTTTGAGTCCTGGGGAGGGAAAGAGAAAAATTGGGGTTCCTGCTCTGTTGAGTACTAGGAGGTGTTGAATAATTATTTTTCAGATTTGAGATGGGAAGGGCTGAGGGACACCAGAGGCATCCTAGAAATAGAAGTGCCTTCTAGGACAGAAGGATCACTTGGGCAATTTCCTCCACAAAGTACACTCTCTATTCCCTTTTCTTTCTTCTTCCCCCATCAAAATTAATTGGTTCTTCTACACTTCTTCACATCACACTGCTTGGCTTTGTAGGGGCAGGAATTCAGGACCTGGGTTTTAGACTTCTGGGTTGAGGTGGTAAAATGGTGATATAGAGTCCTTTTTCTGCAGGTGCTTTCTGAGACTTCATCCTCAAGGCCTGGTGGCTATCGGCTCTTTTCATCTTCCCGGCCACCAACGGAGATGAAGCAGAGTGGCCTAGGTATGATTTCCTGCCATCTTTCACCTGACGTCGGGAAGGGGTGTCTGTCTGTTTTTATAGTTTAACGTGGGAAATCTTAGTCATGGGAGTTGGGCCCATCTAGTCAGCAGTATTGTCAGGTGGGATGGGGAAGACGAATTGGGAGAAGCCATATTTAGGTGTGAACTTTGATCCCAGATGATTGTTTCCATCCCAGGAAGGTGTTTGCCTTTTGGTTTTCTACACCAAGCCCCATTTCTATGGCTGAAGGCCATTTTTCTGGCTTCCCCTCTCATTCCTTATCTGTCCCTCCAGTGTAGCCCAGACCGTAAGGGGCCATGGAAACTCTGAACCTTCAGAGTTATCAGAGACAGAGCTATAAATAGAGGTACTTGTGACCCCTGTAAGTGTCATAGTCCTCATTTGGAGAACTTGTTCCATGTCTTCCTCTGAAACGTATGTTTTTCACACCCCTGCTCTGGCTCCTCCTACCTCTATGCCCTCTCCTCCATCCCTTCCTAATCCTGTAACTTTTTTTCCTTCCTTCCAGAAAATTAAAGGGTAAATCTGAGACTGGTATAGTGACAGAAGCTTCCCTCAGGACTTTGAGGGAATGTCTCTTGATTTTTTTGATCCCTGGAGAGGAGTGGAGAGCATCATCCAACCTTTCCTAAAAACACAGACTGTAGGAAGGACCAAGTCTCAGAGGATACTGTATTCTTCGGTGGAGGAAGTGGTCGTTGGGAGGGGTTATTTCTGAACACAGTACCTTGTGAGTCGGTAATTAGAGCTGGAGGTCAGAGACAATTGTGTGACTTGGTCCCTGGCTTCTTTCTATCATATTATCCTATTATTCTCTCCAGTTAGCTCCTCATTTTTTTTGTTAGCTTTGTCCTTGGTACCCAATTTTTTTTTGCCCCAAAATGGTCAGCATTTCGTCCAGCAAGAGGAAGAAAGGTTTTGAAAAATTTCCAGGCTAATTTTATGGGGATAGTTTGCATTCCAGATCTCTGAAATGAGGTAGATGGTTTGGGGCATAAGAAATAAATGACAAGGGTGTAGGTCTATAATATGGACTTCTCTTCCCAGAAGTGCCAGAAAAGAATAGGTTACCAAGGTAGTCTGGAAAAAAGGTATGTGTATCTGGCCTGGTTAAGTGGGTGTTCTGTCAAGAACAAGGCAGAGGTGTGGACCTGGGACTGGTTGACAGATGGTGGTGATAAAACTACCCTCTGAGATGATCCGAGGACTTGGCAGATTGGTGTTGGCGGGGCTATGCCAGGAAATTATTCAGAGGCGGAATTAAATGTAGAACAGAGCTTGTGGTGCTCTGGGACACAGCCAGCTCTTTTTAGCTCCTCTGAAGAAAAGCAGACATATTTAGCAACCCTTATTGCTCTCTGAAACTCCATTCCAGAGCCTGTTTGAGCATGAAAGGTAGGGAAAGTCGCTGTATCGAGGAATTCCAGGGTTAAGATTATCAGCTATTTGAACTTCCTAATTTCTGTGGTGACCCTGAAATCTTGGGACTCTTAAAACCATGGCGCCTTCTTTGTGGGCTCAAAGAAAATTGGCCTCACCTCCCTTACGAGTGTTAAGTTCCCAAGGCAAACCCAGGGTCTTGGCTAAGATGGGTTTGGAAGTAGAAGGGCAAATCCTAAGAACTTGAGTGTCAGCCTTGTCTCTCCCTGCCCACTCTGACCTTGTGAGCTATAGTTGGAGAGGGGTCCATGGAGCCCTAACCCTACTCTAGACCACACACTGGGGACAGTACTAGCTTGATTAATTTTCTTCAGAGATTTTTTCAGTTTTCTTTACTCCTCTGATTGGCGGTGGAGTTCTCTTTTCTCTCTTTGAACTTCTGTGTGTGGGCATCTGACTTTAGAATAGGACTTACAGGATAGTAAACTTTTGAGATCAGAAGACTTGTCTTTCTTGTTGTTTCTTGCTCACTGGGCCCTTCTCCTTAGTAGGGTGCTCAGCACACAGTAGGCGTGCTCTATGTGTAATCAGCTGATTTTCCAGTTTGTGTCCATCTTGTCTTCAGTAGCAATGCTCTGTTTCCTCTTGATGAAAAAATTATTTTCTGAGTGCAGTTTGTCCTCAGAGTCAAAAGGCCTGATTCTAGCCCAGCTTAGCTCCTAACAAACTATATCTCTTGAGCAAATGAAATCCCTTTTGGGTCTCTAAAATAAAAAGGTTGAACTAGGTTAATCTCTGAGTCCTTCACAGCTTTAAAAATTCAGTGAGTCTTATATTTTTTTTCTTGGGTGAGGTAAAAATGCCTGAAAGGAGGTGGAAGGGAGGGGACACTGGATGAAGAATCTAGGAAGAATTAGAAGGGTTCCAGCTGAGTGCTCCAAACATAGTCTCTAGTTTCAGTAAGAGTTCTTTCCTTTGAAACCTGCAGGGGACTAGCTTTCTGGGTTCTTCAAACTTATTCCCAGGGTAAGGGGCATTAAACTAAATCTAGGGGTTCTATAGGGATCTACCTATTCTTTTGGCATTTCTGAGAGCCACCTGAAGAGCTTAGTCTACCACTTTAAGTAGCTTTGAATCCCCTAATATGACTAACCCTGCATTTGTAGTGGCCTCATGCCTCTGCCTTGTAGCCTCTTCAGGAGAACCCCTACTTTGCTTGCCCAGTGTGGCTGTGGACAGTAGTGAAAGCTATTTGTGGTTATGTGTAGCGGCCATGTGGTAGTGGCTCTAAGTGGCTGTGTGTGTCTTGATGTTGTCGTGTGAATTGTATGTATTTCTGTGTAGTAGTTGCAGCTTTTCGTGGCTACTAATGCACTCCCGGCCTTGCAGGCTCACAGTGCACAGGGCTGTTCAGCACCACAGTGCTGGGTGGCTCCTCCAGCGCCCCGAATCTACAGGACTACGCCCGCAGCCATGGCAAAAAGCTACCACCTGCCAGTCTGAAGCACCGAGATGGTATGTGGGTGGGTTTTGGGGGGGGCAACTCCTTTCTCCATTTGTCCCCCAGCAAGGACACAGCTCAAGACCTATTCATGCTTATGATGGCACTGACATTGACCCTATGACAGAAGTTTTCTTCATCAGTTATAGATGGGAGAAGGAACCAGGACTTCATCCCCCTCTCCATTTGCATTTCCTCTCGCCATACAGATACTACTTATTTATGCTTATCCCTTCATACGGCCCTGCTACATCAATGACTCCACCTTTGTACTCTTTCCTGAACTCTAGCCTGTAGGGTAAGGACCCAGGAGGATGATCCATGGTCAGGAAGAATGCAGTGGAGGCTTGCTTAAATCCAGGAGATCAGGTTTAGGAATGGGAAAGTTGCCCAGCCAAGGCAGGAAAGATGACATGGAAAGAGATTGGGGGATGGGATGAAAGTTTCTATAAAGATTTTGTTTCCAAATGACCAGAAAGAGGGTGTGGTGGAGAAATTAGGATTGTTCGTGGGGCCGTCTTGTGGTAGAGATGACACACAGATTCGGAAGAGGAGATTATGCCAAGGGAAAATGTTGAAATATAGTCAGGAAGCTGAGGGGTGGGGATGGGAGCAGTTCACGTAACTGACTGTAAAGAACAGAGTATACAGAACAGAGTATATTTTGGGCAGATTCCAGAGCAGAGGGCGGGGGTAGGAGTGGGTATAATCCCCATGATGTCTTTTCTCCCCAGAGCTCTTGTTTGTCCCGGCCGTAAAACGATTTTCTGTGTCGTTTGCAAAGCATCCGACTAACGGTACGTTTGCTTCTGACTCAACATCGTTCCTCCTCATCATGTCATCTCCAGGCACTTAACCTCTGAGTTCTGACACTGATTTTGTCTCTCCTTCCACTGTGTTGACACCCTGCTGTCTCCGAATGAGTCGCTCACTAAGTGTCCCTCCTGGGACATTTCCCTTGTTGTGACAACCTTAGCCTTCGCTGCAGCCTGGCTGCCCAGTATCTGTGGCAACTTAATGTCTTACTTCCATAACCACCATCATCACTATTGTATCACTTCTGTCTGCATCACACCAAAATATTGATTAAGCATCTTCCATTTCCATCACATGACTGCCAAACATTATACAAACATGGTAATGGTTCCCCTTCTTAGGAAGAGAATAGTATTTCCAAATCATCCCCATTCTTCTCTTTTTTTCCACAGCCCTCAGCTCATATAATTTTGGTCTTTCTGTTTTTTCTCCAACTCTGTTGTTGGGGATGGCATGACAAGTTTGTTCTTCTTGTGGAGTAGTGCTGCGGTTCCCAGCTCCCAACCCTCCCCAGAAGGGTATTAATCTTGAGTATAGTTTCCTGTCTTCATATTCCTATAGCCTACCATTGTGTGTACTTTGTGTGGCTCTCATGTACCTGACATCTGCTTTATGTTACTACTAACCTAGTGCCTGGGCCTAGAAAGCAGGAGCCCAGATCAATTTGGGGTGAAAGAGAAAAAGAAAGGAGTAGGAGGTGGTAGGTAAAGGAAAAAAGATTGTACCTTGAGTTTTTCAATGTAGTTTCCACATAGGCCCAGCTTACATATGGCACTGCTTTCTCGCAGAAGCTAGAGGTGAAGGTTGAGATGTCTTCTGGGGATCCTGGGGGAGCTAAGGAAGGAATAGTATTTAAAGAACATTGAAGAGCTCGGTTGGCCTGCACTGTGGTGGGAGAGCTTGGACATCTGTGGAAAACAAAAACCGGAGGGCTATGGTGTCTTTGTGGGATATAATGGGAACCCAGGGCTCACTCCCCGTTAAGGTTTTATCCTTTGTATCCTTAGCTTTCTCTCTGCATTGTATCTTGTCTTCAAGGTAAATCCAATGTCATTAGATTTAGTTTTCTTCTGTCTTAGAGCTAAGACCCTCTGAGGGAGATGATGTTAATCTGGCTTCCTGGCTAGAAAAACGTCCAGGTGCTGATCTCCTGTACCCTAACCAGTGGCAGCTGCTAGACTTTAGCCCAGTCATGCCATACATCTGCACTAGGCACTGCTGAAATCTCTCCTGAGCCTGCACTTCTCCAGTTTAGCCCCCTCCCCGCCAGGCTCCCATCTGTTCCTGTGACAGGAGCCCCCCAGTCAGTGTGGCATGGCGGTGCCTACTCATTTAGCTTCACATTCTTCCGGCCTTCATGTGTTACGGTCATCTCTGAAGTAGAACCTAATGCGCCAATCCCAGAGCCTGTTGCTTAGACTTAGGAGACACGTTACTTAGGATCCCGAATATGGTAACAGGAACTTGGAGCCCTGAAACCAGCGCTAAATCAAAGATCTCCTAGTTTTCAGGCTTAATGAGAAAAGACACAAATTCATAAAACAGATTCCCAAACTATGTATCTCCAGTCCCCTAAAGCCTTGGTTAGCAGCCTCACCAGGTGAAGAAAGGAAGAATCAATTCTAACAAAAGGAGGAGAGGAAGAGAGATCCGGATCATTCAGGTATAGTGTAGGAGAAGGCTATTTATGATCTCCTCAAATACCCTGAATTCTTCCTCAGGGATCTTCTGGCCTCCTTTGTCCTTATACTTGAGCTTGAAGGCTACATGCATGAGAAACCAGAATCTGGGATCTGCCTGTTGGAGTTATTATGTCTCTTACTGAAGATTATCTAGATTTAATTTGGCCCTCAGGACAATATGAAGGCTGTACTCCATGGTCAAAATCTTGCTCAACTGACCCAGCAATTACAAAGTGGATGTTCTGTCTACAAATGCTTATGGAAGATTAATCACAGCAATGTGCCAACCTACTGTCCCATCATCACTGTCTCCTTGCCATGATGCCTACCTTTGAACAGAAACTAGAAAAACTAGACCTGCCCTTGGAAAGGAGGCAAGGCAGTGCTGTCTCCTTGGTTTGGTGGGAGGGCAGCCCTCAGCCCATCCTTGCCTCTGTTTCTGATAAGCTTCTGTCACATCCTGTGACTACATCAAATACACAAGTATGGCCCGTTACTAAACTGCACGCTGAGCTCTCCAAAGTAATCTAATATAGTGGGAAAGAGACTGTGGCTCACCCCATCCAGAATGCCAGAGTGTGCCCACTGGATTTGCCAATCCTATGTCTCCTGGGAGCCCACAAAATGGTGTGACCATTGGTACAGTTAGCGCTTGCCAGACTAGCCCATGTACAGCTGACTCTTGTCCTGAAATCCCAGCTAGGGTTTCTGGAAACCATAGTCTCACGTCTCATGTGGGAATCACCCTGTGGAATCAGTTCTGGTCTGGGAGTTCTGAGCAGTTATCCTTAGATACTTAGATGCTGAACTACTCGAGTTGGTACTCTATACCAAAATCCTGTACTCAAATTCTTACCCATCCTCACATCAGGTCTCAAGCCCCTATATCTTTTTCCGAAGATCTTCCCCCAACTGTTTTGTCTACATCCTCTCCTCTCCCACCCTGGTCCCTCGTGCCTTTTGCAGCTGAATTGCAAGCATCCACTAAGTTTGCCAAACAGCTAAAACAATGAGTCGTATAGGATCGAGGCTTCTCCACTCACCAGCTGAACAAAGCACAGTTAAACTTATCAGCAGTGGGAAGAAAGTACAAATTATCAAACTTTTGGCCTCTTTAGATTCAGTGCCCCCAACTCCTGAAACTTATGCAAACATTTTTTAAAAATCTGCTTAACAAGAGTATGGTAAAGGATGATTAACCAATGTTGACATTTTCACATATTGATTCCATTTTTACATGCTCTGTTTTAAAGGAGTCCTATACCTGGTCTCCAGCCAACCTCCTATGCCAGCTGCCTAGTACCAGCCCACACTGTGGCCATCTTAGAGTCTGGTCCAGAGGGCCTGGCCTGAACCTTCAGGAACATTGTTAAGCTTCAGACTTTATCTTGCTACCCTATGCCATTCTTGACCCTCTTCTCTGAGTGACTGAATCTTTTTGTCTCTATCCCAACCTCATAAATCTGTTCTGAGAAGCAGCCTTTGACTAGGGTTTGCCCAAGAAAGTTGAGGGACACAGGGGCTCTAGTCAAGGCTGCTAGCTGCAGAACTGACAGCTCACTCCCATCCAGAATGATGTGGCTGCTGTCTTGTAAGCACTGACTGAATTTGCTTAAAGAAGAAGGGGAGGGCCTTGCTGTATCGTGAGGTCTCGCTGGCCCCTTCTTTAAGGCTCACTGTGTGATGCCAACACTCATCTTTCCTACGAGAGATGCCCAGTGGCTCTGCTTCTCTCTTAGCTCACCTTGGAGCTAAGCAGCCCCACCTCCCATATGCTTGTGCCGGTCAGTGCCCCCTCATTGTCTCTCCTTCTTCTCTTTCTTTATCTCTGTGCTTCCTGCCGTGGTCCCCCCACCCCCGCCAGAGCTGCTGGATGACCAGCACCCTGTGGTCCGGTTGCTGCGCAGTTTTTCCTCTGACTGCCCAGGGGGCCGGCCAGTCTCCTTGGATGCCACGCTGGCGCATCACCTGCACCAGTGCTCCTACCACCTGCGCCTCTTCCGGAACTGGCTGCGCTCAGGCCAGGATGACCCCGAGTGCCTCTACGGTACCCCCTGCCACCAAGCTGGCTGCTGCCACTACCCTGGCTGGGACTGACTGCTTTGCTTATTGCACTTCTGGCAGGAGAGCTCGCCTGTGTCTTTCTCCTATTTCCCCTAAGGTTATGTGACTTGCATTTAGTAGCTTGGATGGGATTGGGGCCAGACTGTCTGGTAGCTGTAGCATTGGCTGCTCATCCCCTTCCTGTTCTCCTTCCTCACCACCCGCTAACATTATCTCTCCCCTAGTTCTATTCAGTTTAGGAGTAATCTCTTGCCCTGGAATCTGTTCTTATCTCTATAACCTTCTACTACCACCATCTTCCAGTCTAAATTTTTTCTACTCACTCTGAGGAGCTAGAGACTGTACCTCTCCTGCTGTCCTGCCACTAGATTACAGGGGGAAACTGAGGTACAGAGATTTTAGAGGCCCTATCTGAATCCTTGAGGCAAACAAGGGCCAGCAGTTAGAAGACGGTGAGATAGAATCCTTTTGAGTTATTGGTGAACAAGAGACTGAGTCTTGCATAGATCCTGCTGCCCCGCCTACCCTTAGACCCTTTAAGAAGATGTGGAGGAAGCATAGGAAAGACTGGGGACTGAAAAAGTGGTTGGTGATGTGTATTTCTTGGTCTTCCAACGGGGAAATTTGTTCTGTCAACAGTCCCTGGTATTCAGGTTACACGTTCAGGTTTATTCTTGATTCTACCCAGACTGCGAACCTACATTGGAGTTGTTGGGTTTAGAGCACAGAATCAGTATTTATTCTTTGTTTTCTAGGGGGTTTGCCTCATTTTCCTGGTGGAGTAGAGAGATCCTAGCAATTCTGGGATCTTCCAGTGAGATCAAAAGGGAGAAGCTTTGATGTAATGGAAATGACCAAGAAAGAACTTCCATCCCCCAGCCTGATCGTGCATGTGGTTTTCCTGGGCTGAGCTTCATGTGTATTGCATGCCTTCTAGCTTTCTTCCAAGTATTTTAGCCTTTCTACCCATATCCTGAATCTGCATGGACCCCTTCTCAGATTCCATGCCCTCCTCCTTAATATGGTTCTTTTGTTTATGATCCCTGAAATCTGCTGTTTCTTCCCAGCTCTGTGACCTCCCTACCTCATGTTAGACCCTACAGTTTTCACCCCTCACCTCTGGACCCTTGTTTTGTTCCCCTAGAAAGCACTAGGAGCAATGTAGGTGCTTAGCCTACTGGGATTCTGTTAATTTTTCCATGAGACATTGCAGGCTCTCCGTAGGTAGGATGAGAGGTGATTTGATTCACCTGGAGGCCTAAGCAGGTAAAGTTTTTAGGGAATCTGGAGGTGAGACAAAAAGACTCCCCTAGGGGCTCTGAAGAGTTCCCTCTCCTGAGAATCTTGGATACTCCATACTCCCAAAACCACAGACTCTCCTGATGGCTCTCAGGGACTCTCCATGCTTCCTTGGCCAATTGTGGTATCCAGCAGGTATAACATTGACTTTGTCCATCTCTACCCTAACAGGATTTGAAGGATGCTCCATGGTGCCTACCATCTACCCGCTGGAAACACTGCATAATGCCCTTTCTCTGCGTCAAGTGAGTGAATTCTTGAGTAGAGTCTGCCAACGCCATACCGATGCCCAGGCCCAGGCATCTGCAGGTATGAAGAATACTCTCATCTTGTACTTCCACCTCTGCCCCACTCTTATGCTTCCTAGAACACGAGATAGATGTAAACTAAAAAGATAGTTAGGTACTCCTAAAAGACACAGAAGTAGACTTGAAAAAAATCTTTAATTGCATAGGCCAACTCAACTTTATAGAAATATCACTCCTTTCCACGTTAATTTATAAATTTAATGTGATACCTATAAAAATACTGTTGTTTTTCTAAAGTCAGACAAATCAATTCTGAAGATCTCATTAAAAAATAAACAAGCGTAAATAGCCAGGAAAACCCTGAAGAGAGGAGTAACGAGGGGGTACTAACTCTAACATATATTAAAACCTATTATGAAACTTCTATAATTAAAACAGTGTAGTATTGGTACATGAGTAGACAGAGAGGCCAATGAAACAAAATAGAAAATCTAGAAATAAATGAATATAAAACAAAACAAAAAAAACCAACTCATGGCGACCCCACGTGTCCCAGAGTAGAACTGTACTCCGTAGGGTTTTCAAGGCTATAACCTTTTGGAAAGAAATTGCCAGGCCTTTCTTTTGAGGCATCTCTGGGTGGGTTCGAACCACCAACTTTTCGGATAGTAGTTGAGCGCTTAGCCCTTTGCATCATCCAGGACTCCTAGATGAGGTTAGCATTTCAAAATACTGGGGAAAATAAAGACTTTTTAATAAATAGAATTGGGAAACTGATAGCCTTTTGGCAAAAATTAAAATTGAATCCATACATCACTCTATATACCAGGATAAACTCCATATGGATCAGAAATCTAAATGTAAAAATTAAACCATACAGGGGATGTTAATGAAAATGGGGAGGAGGAACCTCTAAGGTTGTGTCCCTTCACAGAAACACTGAAAAAATCAAGGCAAAACTGTCGAATCAACTTATCAGAACTCTGGAAAATAGTCAAAGGTTTACAGCAACCAAGCAAATGCTGAATCAAGAAAAAGGCAACTTAAAAATGGTAGGAAGGTTTTGCAGCACTTTTACTCACCCTGGTCTTGCACTCCTTCCCTACTTGGCAGTGGTCTTGCAGATGGCAGCCTGCTTCTCAGTGTTGGACCCTGCTTCCTGATTCCAAAGGGACCAGAACAGAAGTTATTCTCAAAGAATTGTGTTGGAGGCTACCTAAAGGACTGACACAAGGCACTTGCTTTTGTTTCATCTAACAGTGAACCACTCAGGGTGAAAAAGTGGCTGTGCAAGTGGCATTCCTTGAAAACATTGTAAGGCAGATGAACAACCCAGTACCTTCTAGGGGCAAAAGATTACAGTTAAGGTAAACAATGGATATGCCAACAGCTGGGAGGAAAGGTGAGGAGAGAGTTGTTGTTGTTGTTGTTGTTTTCTTTTTTAAATTAGGGCATTCATTCAAAAGTGCCTGTGTATACTAGGGAATTTAGGAAGCCATGTGCATGCCCAGGGCAGGATATATGCCCAGCAAAGACTTCAGAAAACCCTAAGCTTTTTACCTCTGGTTGAATTCTAGGCTTAGTATAAGCAGGGAGTAAAGGCTAAGGAAGAGTTATAAACAGCCTGGCACAGAACCAATCTTCAAAGACTTGGAGAGTTTTCTTTTCTTTTTTCTTTCTCTCAACTCCTGGCATTCAAGGAAATAAATCTCTGTCAAAACACTAAGTAAACACAAGCTAAAGGAACAGATACTTCAGAGATCACATGTGACATAGAATAGAATACAGACTTTACAAAAGTGGTTTTAAAAAAGTCACTAAACAAACAAACAGCTGCACTACACAGAAAGCAACAAAAACAATTCCTGGGGAAGAGGAAGAATCTGCTTTTCAGATTTACCACACTATAATATTCAAAATGTCCAGTTTTCACCAAAAAATTATGAAATATACAAAGAAATAAGAAAGCCTGGTTCATTCACAGAAGAAATTAACAGAGATGGTCCCTGAGAAAGCATAGATATTGGACTTACTAGACTAGGATCTTAAAGCAACTATCTTAAATATGCTCAAAGAACATAAGTATGAGAGCTAAAACAATAAAACTCTTAGAAGAAAATGGGTAAATTTGGCAATGGATTCTTAGATATGATACCAAAAGCACGAGCAGCAAAAGAAAAAAAATATGGGCTTCAAAAAGTTAAAAACTTTTATGCACCAAAGAACATTATCAGGAAAGTGAAAAGACAATCCACAGAATGATAGAAAATATGTACAAAGCACATATTTGATAAGGGTCTGGTATCCAGAATATAATTGACTTGATGGCAACTAACAACAACAACATCATCCCGAATATATAAATAATTTGTACAACTCAACAATAAAAAGACATACAACCCAATTAAAAACTAGGCAAAGGACTTGAATAGATATTTTCCCAAAGAAGATATACAGATTGGCCAACAAACACAAGAAAAAATGCTAAACATCATTAGTCATAAGGAAAATGCAAATCAAAACCACAATGAGATGCCATTTCACACCCACTGGAGTGACTGTAATAATTAAAAACAAAACAAAGCAGAAAATAATAAGTTGGTGAGGATGTGACAATATCAATATGAATTCAGTTTGTTAATGCTTTTTTCTAACACTGTGCACTAGAAGCTGTAGCAGTGAGCACCTTTAGCACCTAGATTTTGGTCTCTACATACCATTCTCGACTAAAAAGAATGAAGAGTCCTTGAGAAAATGACTGATTCTTGCCCAAGGACAATGTTTTTTTAACTTTTTTTTTAAAAAAAATTAAAGGCAACTCTCCCCAAGGAGCCTTTTTCGATATTTTTTTCCTAACCACCTCAACCCTATAGAAATTTTAATACCATAGATATAGTATGTACTGTGACCTTTTAAACAGTGACAAACTATTGTAATATCTAAGATGTTTTCACTTCTACCAAGGACCAATTATGTTGAGAATGCATGGTCTGGGGCAAGGAAAGCACAAGATGATCCTGGAACATCTTGTAGCAGAAAGAAAGGAAGCAATCAAGCCTGGAGGGGCTCCCACATGCCAGAATTGGGACAATTTAAGCAGTAAAAAGAATAATTGCTATAATTGTTTGAAGTACCTTATTTTTATGAAAATAACGTGCACCTTCTATGTTTGTTTGCCAAACTCGCCCTCCCGCTGTGAGGTATTTTCCTAAGCACCACTATGCTAGTTTTTTTACATGTTGCCGTAAAAAATTAGCTTAGTGCACTTACACAAAAACCTTGGGGGGCATGATTGGCAAACAAACATAGAAGGTGTGCATTATTTGCATAAAAATATGGTACGCCGAATATATAAAAATCCATGAGCCCATAATAAATCTTACGAAAAAGGAAACAAAAATAAAATGCAGTAAAACTCATTTGCTATGATCGAAGAAGACTTTTCACCAACTCTTTACTCTGACAAAATGCAACGTATGGTCCGTGTTTGAATCTTGCTATAAAAAACATTTTGGGAATAACTGGGGAAATATGACTATGGACTGGGTATTAGATGCTATTAGGGAATTATCATTTATTTTGTTAGGTCTTCTCATAGCATATGGCTATGTAGGAAAATTTTCTTATATTTTAGAGATATATTGAAGTACTTCTAGGTGAAATGTTTCATAATATCTGTCATTTATTTTAAAGAACTTAAGCATAAAGAAATGGATTAAACAAATATGGCAAAATGTTAACATGTTAAATCTAGGAGATGAGCATATGGGTATTCATTGCATGGGTCTTTCAACTACTTTTTAAAATATGTTTGAAAATGTTCATAATACGAAGTTTAAAAAATTGAAAATGGCTAGGATGAAGGATCCCTAGGAAATGCTACTTCTTATCCTGAGGAGGTATAAGTTGGCTTTGACTTATGTTGAGAATCTCTGGCTCTTGGACACTCCCTCATATGCTTTTTTTCTTCCTTCTGTCTCCTATCTGTCCAGCCCTCTTTGACTCTATGCACAGCAACCAGGCCTCAAATAACCCATTTTCCCCACCCCGTACTCTTCATTCACCTCCCCTGCAACTCCGGCAGCGCTCTGAGAAGCCTCCTTGGTGTAAGTGATCCCTTTGGAACTGCCTAGACAAGGGCAAGGGGGATGGAGAGATTGGTGAATGTGGGACCTGTGGCATGAGGGGCAAGAAGATGAGGGTTGAGAGACTAGGAATGTCTCTGTCTCATTGGAGAGGTTCATAAAAGATAGTGGCCCAGAGGGCCCTCTGAGGACAAAAGGATGGAAACTCTGTTTTTCTCAGATCCCTGTTTGGTCTCTACAGCTTTCTTTAGAGAAGATGACTAGGTAGGCAACCTAGGTAAATAGAAAAGCCGGGAGCAGGGAACTAGATCCCCTTCTGATGGCTCCACGTCCCTTCTCCCGAGTACTCTGCTCTCAGAAAAAAAGCTGACAAGTCCTCTTTCCCATCTCTCCTTTGTTATCTCTAGCCTGTCACTAATTATTCCTGGTAACAGTTGTGAACAGTGGAGCCACAAGGGGTTCTTAGTATGATTGTAGGGAGGCAGAGATACCAGTGGTAATGAGACCAGAGAGAGTGGCGATGGGAAGTCCTTTCCTTGTTCACCCTGCCTCAAGGGAGTAACTGAAATCAAACATGGCTTCCATTATTTTACTTGTATAGGACTAAAGGAAAGATTCATATTTTAGCATTGGGGTAAAGAGTTGTAGAATCTTGCCCTTCTTCTGACACCCCGTAGAGGGAGAAATTTTTCTACTCATGGTGACCCCATGCACACCAGAGTGAACTGCTGCCCGGTCCTGCACCATCTCCATGATTGGCTGTGAATCGTACCATTGTGAGCCATAGGGTTTTCACTGGCTGATTTTTGGAAGTAGATCACTAGGCCTTTCTTCCTACTCCATCTTAGTCTGGAAGCTCTGCTGAAACCTGTTCAGCATCATAGCAACATGCAATCCACCACTGACAGATAGGTGGTAGCTGCACGAGGTGTATTGGCCAGAACTCAACCAGGTCTCCCGCGTGGAAGGAGAGATTTCGACTACGGAACCATCACTGCCCTCAAGTAAACAATTTAGTAATCCCTGATGAAAGAACCTCAGGCCCTTTTTAAGAATCCCACAGAGCAACAGCACATGTGATCTGCTTGTGAAAAACTCTTGTAGTCCCCAAGGACATTTGACACATTGACCCTCAATCCAGGACTCATTTTATCAACAACCAGACCATGCTGGGCTGTGGTTCCCATTTCACAGATTACTTTTAACCTCCCCAAGGTGCTTTCGCCAAATCTCCGAGAGGGAAGCTAGGCCCTTGTCCTTATCCTCAAATTACCCTTGAGGAAACTAAGGCTCACAGAGTGAGCCGACTTGACTGGGGTCACACAGCTGGGAAGTCACGAGGTGAGATTTGAATTCAGATTGCCTGATCTCAAGTGAAATATTCTCTATGTTATTGTTAGGTGCCATCAAGTCAGCTCTGACTCATGGCAACCTTGTGTGTTACAGAATATGAAATGTTGCCCGGTCCTGGGCCATCTTAAAAAAACAAAACCAAGCCAAAAACCACTAGCTAGATTTTAAAGCTACTTTGATCCTTGGATGAAGCTTTTTTTTTTTTAAATGTAGTATCAGGCATTTGGCTTCCTATCAGGCACGTAGCCTCATTGGTAAACATCTTCTTTAGGGTCCCTCTGCACCAGAAATAGGCTCCATATTTCTTAAAGTCTTGTTAGCCCAAAACCAAAACCATGTTCCTCTTTTTTTCTGCCTGAAGCACACCTCCTCTGATCCTTTACAGAGGAAAGATAGCTGGCATACCTTAAACTCAACGGCTGATGGGGCCCTTCCAGGCTCAGACTTGCCAGCTTTCCCAGGTACTCTTTGATGACAAGACGTTGATATTCATGAGTCCCCTGCTTCCAGAACCTACCATTATTGATATTAGAGTGCATTAAATATGGAGTTACAGTAACATCAATATATATGATATTTACAAAGGGAAAAGTAACTTAGTCTCCTATTAAAGGTCAATGAAGAACTGGAGGTTAGGGTAGGAATTACCCCTCAGTATAATTGAAGATTCTAAGGTCTTCATTATACTACTGTCACAATCTGTGAAATTAGCCTTATATTTTATATGTATATAATATGCACAAGCCTGTAACATCGTATGTCCCAAGACTTAGGGGATCTTAACCTTGGATCCATGGATGGGTTTCAAGGTAGTCTATGACCCCCAGGAATTATATGTAAAAATTGGTGTAAATATCTATACATACATTTTCCTGGGAAGATAGTCCATGACTTTCATCAGAGCTTCAAGGGGGTCCGTGAAAGGTTAATTAAAAAGTGCTACCATTTGAAGATTCCATGGAAATCTTCCAGCTTTAGGTAAATCTGTTTCTTTTCTACTCCTCTGACCCACAAGGTTTTTCTACATTCTCCTGCTTATCTCTTGGGCTATCAGTAGAGGTTACCCCTGGCCCAGAAATACATGACCCCCATGGGAAAAGTGCAAAGCAGCCCTTTGATTGTGTAAAGAAATGATTCCTTTTTTTCTGGTAGAAAGAACAGCTGAATTTTTTGCTTACTGCAGTAAGGGAAGAGACCACCTCACAAAGCATTGGCAGTATAAAGAAGTGATTCTTGACAAAAAAATGTATATCAGAATCAATTGGGAGTATTTTAAACAAAATATTGTGTTTCCCTCCTTTCCCTTCCCCCCTCCCCAGTCTTTACTCTAAACCTATAGAATTAGAATCTCTAGAGATGGAACCTGGAAATTTGTATTTGAAAAAAAAATTCCCCTGTAAATTTTATGTGCAACCCAAATTATGAGCCATAGGGCTAAAGTGTACATATGCTTCCAGAGTAGAAATGAAGGACCTGGGGGATTTGGAGTTGGGATGGGGATACATTTGAGAAAGGACAGGATGAAGTGGGCCTCAGCATCCTCTCCTGAAGTAACTTCGTGCTGCTCCTCTGGTACACACGAGACCAGGCTGACAGTCCTGAGCTGGGCAGAGACTAACTTAGGGGAAATTCAGACCCTCTTTTCCCAAGACAGGAGTAGCAAAGGCCACCCATTCTAGCATTTGAACTACATGTGAAGGGTAGAACCTACACTTCCAGCTGGTCTGACTCAGTCTCCTGGCTTTGCTTTACAGACAGCAGTGGCCCTTCCAGCACTGTGTCCAGTGCTGGTCCTTCTTCCCCCACTGCAGTGGATGGTAACACCCATTTTGGCTTCAGTGATCAATCTTCCCTAAGTTCACATGTGACTGAAGAACGTCAAGGCCTTGGGCAGCGTCAGGAGACTCCTGGGAATGGAGCACAAGAGCCTATAGAAGGGGAGAAAGAAACTTTTGAACGAAATCAGTCCCCACAGGAGCCACCTGTGGAGACCAGCCAGCCATGCCAGGATGTCCCTGAGGAGGTCAGCCACCCATGCCAGGAGTTCATTAAGGAATTCAGCCAGCCGTGCCGGGACATCCCCGAGGAAGTCAGCCAGCCATGCTGGGAGATGTCTCAGATCAGCCAGCCATGCCAGGAGGTCCCTGGTAATAGCCAGCTGTGCTGGGAAACCCCTCAGAATGTCAGCCAGCCACGCCAGGAGAACCATAACAATGTTAACCAGACATGCCAGGAGGTCCCTGAGATCAGTCTGCCATGCCAGAAGGCCAGCCAAGTCTCTGAGGAAGTCTGTCAGCTTTGCCAAGAGAACTCTGAGGAGGTCAACCAGCCATGCCAGGGGGGCCCTGTGGAGGTTGATGGTCTGGTCCAGGAAATTCTTGTGGAAGTTGGCCGACCAGCCCAAGAGGTCCCCGAGGAGGTCATCCAGCCATGCCAGGAGTTCTCTGTGGAGGTTGGCAGGCTGGCCCATGAGTCTCCTGTAATCAATCTGTTGTCTCAGGACATCGCTGAGGTTGATAAACCATCCCAAGTGTTCCCTGGGGATGATGATATGCAGGCCCAGGAGGTCCCTGAGGAGGTTAATCAGGAGTTCTGGGTGGTCCCTGAGGTGACTGACCAGCTGCCTGGAGAGGATGTTCCCCAAGCCCAGTATCCATCCAGTGATCCAAATCCTCAGAGCCAGTCTCTAGCCCATGACCAGCACTCACCCCTTCCACCAGCAACATGTGATTATTCACTTTCTCATTAGTGGTGTCACACTATACCAGCCATTCGAGCCAGCAACTTTTTCTGTTGGCTAACTCACTTGCCAGCCTAAGGCCTTGGCTCTCCAGAGGTGTCTGAGGAAGCAGCCCCTCTTCTCGGCATGAAGCATACCTGTGCCAGAGCTGGGTTTGGGGAGGAGCCAGTTTTATGTTCAAAGCAGCCATTGGCTCTCTGCCTAGCCATTAGACTTGAATAGAATTTCCTTGGGGGTGGGCTGATTTATCATTACCCAGCCCGCTGTGAACATCCCAGGAAATCCCAGATTGTTAAAGGAAATGCCACTTAACTGCTGAAGACACGATCTTTTTCTGGGGAAATATTCAAGATTTCTCAAGGTACCCTTAGACCATATGTGCATTCAGGGAGACTCTTGTCTTTGCTCCTCAGGTGGGCCCTGGATGGTCATCTGAAATGTCTGGGAAAAAAGAGAGTCCCCTTCCCAAACAAACATCCATCAGGGCCACTGATCTCTAGACTGGGCTTATGGTTGTTTCCATACCATCCCCAAGTGCTCCCTCTACATAGTCCTGTTCCTCTGGGCATTAGCTCTAGGGAAAAATAGGTATTAGATTGCTGTACAAACTTCAGAATAACTACTTAGAATGCTCTAGGGGGTTCTTGGCCAATCTGTAAAGCTGGGTCTCCCTTTGTTGTGGGGCTATTTGACTTAGGAAATGCTGTAGTAAAGAATTAAGTTCTATTTTAAGCAATGAGCAGAGAGATCAATATTGTACAGATACAAGCGAAGATTTAATATATATATATATATATATATATATATATATATATATATATATATATATATATATATATATATTTCTATTGTAGTGCCAGGGACAGATTGGCCAAAGACCAAACACTGCAGGGTCCCCAAGAGATTTGTCCTTATATCATTGTTTTTAGGGCCAGATGTGATTATGAAGCTTTACCCAAAGATCTGGGGATGGTAACAGGGGTGGGTAGGAGAGGGAATTTGGTCATTGGAGTTGAGGGCTGAACATTATGAGTGCTCAATAAAAATAATGAGAATGATAGTAGTGGTGATGATATCCTTGTGAATTTAAGAATGGATGTGACTATGAGCCCATCATGTCTGTTTGCAACTGAATTCATCTGAACCGGTCAAAAGCCAATGTCGGTGACCAGGAATGGGCTATTAAAATATAGAGATCAGGCATCCCAGGAGGTCCTTATGGCAGTCAGCCCACCATTCCAAAGTGTCTTTAATGAGTAGAGTGTTGAGGGGGTGGGGATTCTATCTCTGAAGTACCAGAGGGTACATGGCTTCTCACCAGATCCTTGGAATCACCCTCTTAATTTTTTATTCTGATGCTTTGGAGTCAGTGCCAGAAAGAGTTAATATGAAGGGATCATGCCCTTCCTCCACCCCTTGACATCTTTACATTGGGAGAGCCCAGAACACTGGGAGGGTCAGAATATCCTGCTCCCCATATATACTGGTGCAGTGGTTAAGAGCTCGGCTGCTAACCAAAACGTTGGCAGTTCAAACTACCAGCCGTTCCTTGGAAACGCTATGGGGAAGTTCTGCTCTGTGCTGTAGGGTCGCTATGCGTCGGAATCAGCAGCAGCGGGTTTTCCATATATACACATTCACAACCTGGCACTCCTGACATACCCAGGAGGGTTTCAGTGGAGGGGGAAAATCCAACATTTCACCTGGTGGATGGAGGTATTTCCAATCTTAATAGGCGCTGGATCTCTTAAAAACCAAACCTGAGTAGATTCCAATTCATAGCGATGCTATGGGTTAGAGTAGAACTGCCACACAGTGTTTCCAAGGCTGTAATCCTTACAGAAGCAGACTGCCACATGTTTCTCCCACTGAGCAGCAGGTGGGTTTGAACCACTGACCTTTTAGTTAGCAGCCAAGTGCTTAACCACTGTGCTACCAGGGCTCCTTCTGGATCTTTTGGGGCCCCTCAACTCCTTGCCTTGTTGGTGTTTCCCTATTCAGGGTATCTGATCCTGGTTATTTGTTCCTCAGCTCTTGCCCCATGGAATGCAGATCCCCTTCCTAGGAGGCCTCTTGCCTTCCTTTCTCCAAACCAAAGTTATGTCACCATCCTAGGCTCCTATTCCCCGTACTCAAGCACTCCCACTCATTGTCAGAAATCATGCTGACTCCTCATAACTTTTTCTCCCTTCACATACCCTACGTTCTCTGGCACCACTGGGTCTTGGAACTGCTTCCAGTTACCAAAGGCATCGAAGCGCCCCGAGATAAACAACGATGCTGGGAGAAGCAGAGAGGTAGAAGCTAGGCCCAGCAACTAAGCAATCTATGGAGTCATAAAAAGCCTAAGCAGCACTACAGAGTCTGCAATGAACTTGATTTATTGTTAGAGTTGGAGGCAGCTCCATTACAGCAGCTGGGAAGTATACCGGGAAGTGTAGGGAGGACCAGAGCACAGCAGCACGGGAGGTGGGAGCTGGGAAGAAAACAAGGCAGGCTCGTTTTGGTTTCCGCAGTTTGGCAGAGAAGGCCAGCCCAGATGGCTGTCGGCGTCTGGGCTCCGCAGTCCGGCAGTGGTCTGGCAGCGCTGCTCATAGGCTTGCTTGGGGTGAGGTCCTCCATGGGGTGCTATTTTCAGCCTGTTTTCATTTCACTCTGTTGGCATTAAGCTTTAGCTCAGCTTCGTCTCCCTCTTTTCTTTCCTCCCTCTCATTTTCCCCAAGTCCTCTGGCATGGCCTCCACCTCCCAGATCCTCTTTCTAAGAGTTTTGGGCTGGAGGGGCAGCCAATATTCCCATTTCAGCTGCAGGATGGCATAGTGGAATGTTGGGGAGTCACACATTGCTGGGGTGTCAAATGTTGGGATGTCAGGCAGTGGCTTATTTTTAACCCGTTACACACCAGGCCACAGCAGATGACCACATGCAGAGAAGCCAAGCAGGGGATGAGAAGGGATCAGGATAAGTGGAATGGGGTGGGTGACAACGTCAAAGGGTCAGGGAATTTGGAATAATTCTGCGATTGGGGCTGGGCTCTCCTTGCCCCTTTGTGCTGCCCAGTAGGCCTGGTCTGGGCACACCCCTGGGCATGTGAATGGTATGAAACGGGCTGGGAGAGAGGGTAAGCTTCATTCTCCTACCAGTTTGTTGGTCAAAAGAGCTTCAAGTTTTGGATTGAGACATTCAGATATGGCGGGAAGCAGTGGGACAGTGTAGCAGCGGGGTACCCCCAGTCCCCTGCTGGAACCCAGACCCTGGTGGGTAGTGGGATGGGAGATGGAGGAAAAGGGTGCAGCTTTGGGCACCTCGCTGACAGTGTCCTGCCCCCAGGTCACATAAATTACTACGAGAGATTCTTCCTAGGATGCTAAATAAATAGCTTTAGATAAAAAGGTCCCTGGGGTTGAGGATATGATCTCCCTCCATGAGGGAGGAGGTTACTTTCTGAGACTCATCCTCACTTTCCACCCAAGTCCAGCATTTGGCAGTGCTAGGATCGGGTGTCACTCCAGGGTTCTCAGGCATCAGATGACCTTCTGTCCTCATTCTGTGCCCTCCTCCTATCCTGTTCTGTTCCCTTTGGTTTTGAGACCCCTCTCAGGTATGGGCTGGGGGAGAGACAACTCCTCCCATGGCCCAGCCCAAGTCCCCACAACAAGGTATGTGACCACTCTCCACTCCAGCTCCCATCTCCTCAACCCCAAAGGACTGAGCAGTAGCCATTCTCTAAGGGAGCTGGGGGAGGGCGGATCCTGAGGAAAGGGAGCGTGGTTCTTTCAGAACTCAATCTTGCAGGCTGGGAAGGACTCATCCTGCATGACCACGGTGCTGCTGCTAGCCAGGACCAGGACGTTCAGTTGTTGCTGCTGCTCATGAGTCTGCTGGTACCACTCTCGAGTCACCTCCGTGTCATGAGTAGGGATCAGAGTCACCTAGGAGGGAGATAAGATGCGCCTGATGTGAGAACAGGAAGGGAAGGTAAGTGAGGGGGATGGGGCACCGGAAGGTCTCCCCACACATTGCTGCCCACAGAAAGGGTCTAGTCCTTTTATGAACAGGGACTGTGTTCCACTATTGCCTCTGAGTGTGCTTTGACCAGATTGCCTCCTTGGGGTCCCTTGCTACTCACCTGAAGATTCTCCCCCCACTGGGCCTTGCCTTCCAGCAGGGCATCCAGTACAGCCCGGCTTGGCTCGCCATTGGCAGGGTCATTCCCACTGACCACATAGTAGGATGCACGAACTCGACGGAAGAAGTCAAGGTCAGCAGTTTTGCCACTGCAATGATTCGGGATATAGGCGAGATCCACATACACAGGGGCGCCAGAGCCACCCTTGGAACCCAAGGCCGCTGTAGAGACAAGCCAGTGCTCATTGGAGAGGGAAGGGAGAACACTCTTGGCAACTCCCCCTCCCTCTTACTCCCTGAGCCTTTGACCTGCCACACCAAGCCCGGCCCACCCTCTCCTCCACTTTTCATGATATACTTACTCGGTCCTGCCTTGAGTCCATTGACTAGGCCTTTGGACATGGGGCTGTGTCCGTCCTTTTCCTCCCCTGGGGCGACCTGGCTTGGAGTGCTCCGTGGTCGGAGTGGGGTCCGGGATGCTCGATCTGCAGGCCCTTTACCAGGGGTGGGTGAGCGTTTCCCCCGAAGATCTAGACGCCGTGCAGGGGATGCTGGCTTGGCCCTGCCTGGGGCTCTGCGCCCTACTCGCCCCTGAGCCTTCTCTTTTTCTCGTAGCCTCTCCACCCTCCCAGACTCTGAGCTGAGCCCCTCAGGGTCGGCCATGCACACGTCAGGGCGGGGAGGGGATGGGTGGGGGTCTGGCTGGGGTAGAGGGGGTGGGTCGTGGCCAGGCCGGGGATGGTGACTTCCGCTGACTCCCCCAGCTTTGTCCACAGGCAGGAAGTCCCCATCTTCGTCTGAGTCGAGGGCTGCCTCAGCTGTAATGGATGGGCACTCCTCGGTTTCTGGTGGAACGTCAGAATCTGACTGTGAAGAGCCTGAGTCACTGGCTGACGTTGGGGGTGTCTCATCGGCCACAGGGCAAGAGCCCCCTGTTGCCCCTTGGCCCCCTGCTCGGCGTCTCCCCCCTCTCCCTACCAGCCGAGTTTCCTCAGTTGAGAGATCAGTGTCATCCGTGGATCGGGGAATGGGTGGGTTCAGGAAGGAGGGGGAGATCTCCCCACGGTGGGGCCGGGGCTCAGCAGCACATCCCTGGGGCCCAGCCTCAGCCTCAGGGGAGACATTGCTGGGCCGGCCTTCAGGGACCCCTCCAGGACACAGTGGCTGTTCAGGGGAGAACAGCATGTCAGGCCGGGCACCCCTCTCGGCTCCCTCAGGCCAGGCCCCACGTTCCCAGGCAGGGCAGGCCTCAGCCTCTTCCTTCTCAGCCTTGGTCAGGCCAGGCCCTGGGGCACTGGAGCTGGTTTCAGTTGGGCCATTGGCTGCACAATCCCCAGAGGGATCTTGGATGGGGCTTGGCTTCTTGGTGGCTGCCCCTGAGCACTCCAGGCGGCAGGGCAGGGTGCCGTCATCCACGTCTCCAGGCAGGCTTGGAGCCGGAGCTGGGGCCAAGTCCAGAGAAGCTGGGGGTGCCGGGCTCAGAGGAGTGAGGTCCCAGAGACTGTGGGCAGCTGGTTCTCTTCCTGGAACTAGCTCTTCAGACCCCTGTCCTGCAGCCTGCAGACCTGGAGGGAAGCGCTCAGCCACGCTCGAAATCACAGGTGTGGTGGCCTCAGAAGAGGAGCCTTCAGACAGGACTGGCGAGGCAGGCCGCGGCAGACTGGGGAGGAGAGGGGCGCCAGGAGAGCTAGGTGATGGGAGCTGGGGCAGTGAGGAGTCCAGGCTGGGGGCCTTGGCCACTTCCAGGTACTCGTCATGCCGGGCTCTGGTGGGGGGCCCTGGAGCCAGAGCCAGAGCTCTGTCCCCAGAGAAGGCGAGGGAGCCACAGGGTGCTGAGCGGGGTTCAGCTGGAGAGGGCAGCTGTGGGGGAGCTGGCTGCATTGAGGAGAAGCCAAACGCTGAAGCAGGGAAGTCCAGGCTGGGCCGGGCAGGACCCGGGGGCGAGACCGAGGAACGACTGGTGTGTGTCTCAGTTGCAGGCCACAATGTGGGGGGCCCTGCAGGGATGGGGTGAGGAGGACTTGGGGACTGGGCCTCTTTCTCTGGCTGCTCACGAGCCCCCTTCTCCAGCTTTGAGTCACTAGTGTCATCCCAGTGGCCCCGGCCTGCCTCCTTGGGGGACAGGGTCCTCCTATCTGGGCCACAGCTCAGGATGTTACCGTTAAGAGGGGGGCTTGGGCCTTTGCTCAGGGGCACAGGAGCACGGGGGGGCACTGCAGGTGGCGTGGGACTCTGCTCCACACTCAGGCCTAGTTCAGGCTCCTGTCTAGGGGGCACAGGGGGCCCCACCAGGGCTGCATAGCTGAAGGTTGGAGTGTCGGGTTGGAGGCTCTTGGACGAGACAGGAGACGAAAGATCCTTCTCTGCAGATGTGCTTCGGCCGGCAGCCTCCTCCTTGGGTGAGATGCATGGGGGCCAATCCCCAGCTGCTCCAAGCGGAGGCTCCCTAGTGGGGCAAGCAGGGCCAAGTCCAGTTAGCATCATCTGCTCATAGATGTCTGCGTATTGAAAGCTTCTCTCATCAGGGTAGGGCGTGGGCTCTCTCTGCTCCGGCTCAGCCAGCTCAGGCTCCTTGGTGGCACGGCTCTCGCCAGCTTCCGGGATCTTCGAGCTGCAGGAGGTGCTGTCGGGAGCCCCAGCCCCACCTTGTTCTTCCCTTTCCCCTTCAGCCTTGCGGTAGTCCTTCCCCAAGGGGGAGTATGGCCCACCTTCCAATTCAGCTGCCCCCTCCTGCACTGCAGCCACCACGCTGTCATACTCGGCTGTGCCCCAGGAGAAGGGCGCAGGAGTGAGTGGCTCTGGCGCAGGGCTCGGGGGAGCTGGAGCTGGGGAAAGAGGGGCAGGGGGCAGGGGTCTGTCTTTGGGCACCCATGGTGGGATGTCAGCCAGCCATGAGGGAGTGGTGGGTTCTTTCCTCACGGGTGGCATGGGCTTAGACTCTGGGAATGGGCGCTCTTGTCCTGGGGCTGGAGGAACCCTGTGACCAACCATCTCAGGTGGGGAAGCCGGAGGGGAGATGATCTCAAAGGGGGAGCGGGTCAGCTTGTCTTCTTCTTCTGGTGGCAGCCCTACTGGTGACTCGGCGAGCCAGCGCTCCACCTCCAGCCCTTTCTGTGATGAGGGCTCCTGGAAACCCTTGAAGTCTGAGGGCCAGGGGCTCCGGGGTATGTGCTCCAGGGAGGGTACTTCTTGCTCATTATCTGGCCCTTCGTCAAGAAAAGTGCTCTCCCGCTCCTCATTGTACCGTGGGCGGGACCCCTGGCCATCCAGCTCATGAGGGAACCAGACCTTCCTTTCACAGCTCAGCTCCCTCCAGTATGTGTCCTGTTCCAGAGGCACATCCTCCCTGCTCCTCCAGTACCTGTCCTCCTGCTCAGGAGACGTGTCCTCCCATGCCTGGGCAGTCTCCTTCTGTTCTCCAACTGGCTCTACCCTGGTTGGAGCTGTTTCTCGCCACTCCTGGACCACATCCTGCTCCTTCCTCCAGTACTTCTCTTCCTGCTCTCCGGGCTTGTCCTTCTGTACTGGGACCTCCTCCAGCCCCTCCTGTAGAGCTTCTTCCTTCAGCTCCACAGCCTTGACCGTTTCTGGGGGTTTTTCCTCCAGGGTCATCTCCTTTGGTTCAATAGTTTTATCCTCCTGCACTGGGCTCACCTGGCCCCGTGTTTTGTCCTTTTCTTCCAGAGCCTTATCTTTCTGTTCAACAGCCTTACTGCTTTGTTCCAGGGCTTCATCCTTCTGTTCTAAGGCCCCGTATTTTTGTTCTAAGGCATAGTTCTTCTGTTCCTGGGCCTTGTCTGTCTGTTCAAAGGCCATGCCCTTTAGTTCAGCGACCTTGTCTTCTGGAGCCTTATCTTTATGTTCAAAGTCTCTGGATTTTTGCTCTAAGGCTTTGCCTTTCTCTTCTAGGATCTTGTCCTTCTGTTCCAAGGCTTTGTCTTTTTGTTCTAAGTTTATGTCTTTTTGTTCCAAGGTCTTGTCCT